GGATTTTGCATTCTATCCTAAACAATTAAGATTACCGAGTCATTGATATAGGAGAAGTTTATTTTTGAATAGGCTCCTAAAACTTCTATGTAACATACAAAATAATATTTTTTTCTACTATGTATTTTGAACATCAACCCTTGGGATTTTCCTTCAAGAATGGTCTAGTTAAACAACTCTTTAATATTCCTAAAGGACATCTTCAATGCTGCATGTGTAGAGAACAGAGATGTAAAACAACCACAAACACCAAAATAAGTCAATTTATGCCTCGCACTTACAGCTAATATATAAGATAGCAAATGTGCGTATTAACCTTCATGTGGTTTATTAGGTGATAGAGTTATATGTTAGGTCTGACTTTCAGGAATTACATTCCATCCATGCCTTTGAATTTTAGGATTAAATTTGTCATATAAATTAAAAATATTTTATGTTCAGTCCAAACACCTGGGTTTCATTGGAACTTTCTGAGTCTTACTTTTTTCCCCGGAGACTATTAATTACTTCATAGTCCTGAATATTAGAAAAATTATGTAGAATATTTATCATGAACTCCGTAAATGTCAATCAGAGCCTTCTACTGGCTAGAACTTGTTTATCTTAACTTACAGGTTTACTTACGCTTCAATACTTAGTTTCCATTTATCATAGACAAGTTTGGAGCTACTCAACAGATACATAAACGGTTCCTAACTTTCACTTTGTATATAAATAAAATAATTATAAAATATGCTATTTTCAGAACTTTTAATTGGCAACCTTATTTAACAATTGGGAAGGTAATTAAAAACAAATTGCTTTGTTCACTGCTTGATGGGACATACAGTGGAAATGGAATATTTTCCAATGTTTTCTTAACCTTGAAAGTTACTGACATTTTTACTTGTAAATTACTTATTTGCTATTTTAAAATGTAGATTTTATTTGCAATACTGGAGGGTAATCATGTTAAGCGTTCCAATTTCTCCGAAGTAAGATATTACAAGTACGAAATGAAAGAGGAAAAAGTCTTACCTTCAGCATTGATTGTTCATATTCCTAATTATAAGACTGCGTGCCATACATCCATGGTCCACATCTATTTTATAGGTAAGGTTTTTAAATGTTCATCTAGTCAAATGAAAAATAATTAATAGAGAATGGGAAACTACGGTAATATATTCTTCATGAATAATAGGCATTTGGTACAGTAGTTCAGTCGTCAATTATTAAAAGAATCAAATTGAAAAATAATCTCCTATAATGGGTCACAATTATTTATATTGCCACCAGCATAAGGAGGAAGCATTTGAGTTCTTATTAATAAACAATTAGGCTGGTCACACAATAGAAGAGAAGGAAAGGGCAATTTTGAATGGCATTTATATCAACTTTGGAACTGTCAACCTCTTGGGGGCCTTACGTCCTTGGGGCCTTGCACTTTTTGGCTTTCAAACATGTTTGCTACTTAGAAAGGAGGAGAATATTAGGAGTTCTAGTGGGACTCTTGCTCTGATAAATGCTTGGAACATTCATCTTCAAGCATGTTATAGTTCTTAGCACCTAAAGCCAAGACATACGACACTTCACCCCACCAGCACCCACATCCTCTTCATCAACACCGCCGACACCATCCCCACCCCTGCCCCCATGCTCATTCACACTCTGTTTCCTGTGCTCATAAATCTCTCCTGTTCCTACTCTGGGCAATACCTTTTTTCATGTATTTTTTTTTTCTTTCTGCACAGTTACATGAAACAACTTCCTGTAGTATCTCCAAGAAGCCCCCAAAAGTTTTGTAAGAATTGTAATGCTGTCCAAAGGAAATTCTCAGGCTGTCATGAGAGAAGCTAGTGGTTTCACATGAAGGTAGTGAACAGGTGCAACATTTGATAGGAGGACACGCTGCCTGGAATATTTACAGCTGCATAGTAGAGAGTCAGGAAAGCCCCTGTGTCCCAGCCAGGATAGTGAGGCCTAATTGACACTGGACTCCTGGACCTGGATTCCAGGCTTCATGGCACCACTGAACTTCAGTAGCATTTAGTTTACTGTAGATATGTGTGTTTTAATTTATTAATATTAGCACATGATATTCCCCAATCATATTTTAAAGACTGACGTAGTCTTACATATTTTTAATGTTACCTTCTTATATTAAAGAGGCTTTTTAAATGGTTTTGAACTCTAAAAAAACTTTTTTTAATAGTCTTCTTTGCTATTATATGAGGCAGTGGCTTTTTAACTTTGAAACACAGATTGCGGCTCAGCACCTGTGGCTCAAGTGGCTAAGGCGCCAGCCACATACACATAAGGTGGTGGGTTCAAATCTAGCCCGGGCCCGGCAAACAACAGTGACGGCCACAACCAAAAAATAGCTGGGCGTTGTGGCAGGTGCCTGTGGTCCCAGCTACTTGGGAGGCTGAGGCAGGAGACCTGCTTGAGTCCAGAAGTTGGAGGTTGCTGTGAGCTGTAATGCCATGGCACTCTACCCAGGGGGACAGCTTGAGGCTCTGTCTAAAAAAAAAAAAAAAAAGAAACACAGATTGCTGCAGATGCTGGCATGGATGTGGAGAGAAGGGAACACTTTTATACTGCTGGTAGGACTGCAAACTAATATAACCTTTTTGGAAGAAAGTATGGAGAACCCTCAAAGAACTCAAATTAGACCTCTCATTTGATCCTGCAATCCCATTACTAGTTATCTACCCAGAAGGAAAAAAAAATTCTCTTTCATAAGGACATTTGCACTAGACTGTTTATTGCAGCTCCATTTACAATCACCAAAATGTGGAAACAACCTAAATGCCCACCAATCAAGGAATTGATTAACAAGCTGTGGCATATGAACACCATGGAATACTATTCAGCCATAAATAAAAGAGATGGAGATTTTACATCTTTTGTATGAACCTGGATGAGGTGGAACACGTTCTTAGTACAGCATCACCAGAATGGAGATGAAAGAATCCAGTGTACTTAATTCTAATAAGAAGGAATAGAGGACCTAATACAAGGTGGGGGTAGGGGAATGAGGGAGAGGGAGAAGGGTTATGGGGTTATGGGTGTATGACATACCTCTTATGGGGCAGGACATAATTATAAGAGGGACTTTACCTAACAATTACCTAACAAATGCAATCAGTATAATCCGACTCTTTGTACCCTCAATGAACCCCAAACAAAAAAAAGAAAAACACAGCTCACTAGGTCACACCCCCAAAGTTTCTATGGCAGAGAATTTGCCTTTCTAGTAGGTTCCTGGGTAGTGCTGATGGTGCGAGTCCCAGGGCCACATTTTGAGAAACACCTGTTCATCCTGAGTATAGTGAAAAGAGAGGGCACTTCTGGTTTCTGCCAACCTTAGCATCAGATACGTGGATTATGCCCTCACAGTTCATGTAAATATTTCAGATTGAATGATCTAAGGATAATTTTGCCCTGGTAGTTTTTAAAATGCTAAGGTGAACTTCAGCAAATTATATATTGAGTCAATTATGGATTATTTTACTTCCTATCAAGATTCTATAAATCAACATCAATTTGGTGTAATGGCCATGTACGTATTATGTATCTCATGTGATAGGAGATTGCCAGTTAGAATTATCTCATGGATTTTCGAAGAACTGTTCTTTTCTCTGAAACAACAACAAACAACAAAACAAAAGTTAAAACAACAACAAAATCTAAAGTTAAAGAAAGGTCACAAGAATAATTTTTCCTGGACTCTCCATAGGTTTCATAAGTATACCTAGGCACAGAATTAAAAAATGTCTGATAATATCAAACCACTTAAAAATATAAATTTGATGTAGATATCCTATTGTACCATTAAACCATTGTGGTAAAGTGATTTTGTAAAGGGGTTTTTGGGTGAATCTGTGCATACGGTTTTGTTTGCATTAATTCACAGATGCATTCATGTCCCCTAGATACACCATGTGGTTAAAAATTATTCTCCTTTCAGCAGGTTATCCTGCTTTTGATAGATATTTTATAATCTTAACTCACAAAATAGTAGCTCTGTAAAAACTAAATTTTTATTCTGTAATAACATCTATGTAAAGTTGGGAATAATGTAAACAACAATATACAAAGTCGTGGTGCAATATCCCAAATTTAGAAAAGGAATAAGACAACTTTGTCTGTTTTTGAAGAAAGTCATGTAACACTAATATCATCCTTCTCTTATATTCTTGTATGGTGTGGTAGAAATCTTAACGATAAGGTGTCCATAACTTTTATGTATTATTATGTTTGGCCTGTGTAAGGATAAAACAGTCGGTAACCATCACCCACGCTGCACTCATCCCATACAGATCTTCACGCCACATGTAGGGAAATCTGGAAAACAAATCTGATTTAAAAAGCATGATGTTTGTTAAGTGTTTAGAACCGTAGCACGTGTAGACAAGTAGTACCTAAGGTGATGTTCATTGTGTTTATTTTTAGATCAAATCCAAAAGTATTTCTGTGAAACCTAGGAGAAAGGATTATTTTCAAAGAATGTTAGAAAATGGTTTTTTTGTGTGTATATGTTTAGTCTGGAGAGCGGCTCTGCTTAGAGGCACACAGCCATGTGAGTCCTCACTCGTGGGTCCTCCAGGTACTCTAAGCACCAGGCTAGAAAGATGCTGCAGATTCAACTCCAGTTCTTCAGAGGTTAAAAAAAAATACCCACCTATGTCATAATTTTATATTTATTATGTCCTATCTCTCAATAAAAATGTAGGGTACAAAGAAGAGCTTTAAAGACTATTTCTTATAGGTTGCATCAGTTATGTGCTTTCGGTGGACAGCTAAGTACTTTCTACTCTCTTTAACGTGTTTCATAATCTGTAGTTGAGGGCGACATCATGCTGACAGCTGCCCAAACACTGTAATGCTCAGATTGAATGTGAAGATGGCTGATTGGTGGAGCAATTGGACGGGAGGTGATAGGCTGTCTACCTGTGTTTTTATGGGCATTTTTGATCGGCCTTTCCTTATCACAGCTCATGTTCTGATGATCGTTGCAGGATGAAGTGGCACAGCCACTGAACCTCTCAGCTAAACCCAAGACCTCTGATGGCAAATCACCCACATCACCCACCTCTCCCCATATGCCAGCTCTGAGAATAAACAGTGGGGCAGGCCCCCTCAAAGCCTCTGTCCCAGCAGCATTAGCTAGTCCTTCAACCAGAGTTAGCACAATAGGTAAGTCCTGTTTCTTTTGTTCTTGCTGATTTTCTGTTTGTGGCTATTGAATGAAATCATCTTGAAAATGGCACATCGCACTGACCCTATGCATGGCTTGAGTTCTACTGGAGAGTTTCAATTCGAAGAACCACATCAGTCTGCTTAAAACATGGAAATGAAATTTCTCATTGAAGTCCAAGTTATAATGACCCTCTGAAAATCTAATCGCATTGCTTATATTTATATGCTTAACTGTCTCCATAAGTTTACCAAAAAAAGCCTAAATGTCTAAGACCGTGAACAGTAGTTGTTATTAGGTAACTTGTTTTCCATCACTGAAATTTATTTCCATTTATTTTTGGTTGATATGTACAAAGTATGCATAACGATGAAAGGCATTCTGCCTCGATCAGCAGTCAACCAACAGGATGTGAAGTCTGTTTAGTTCCATCCTGCTTCAGAATTACTTTAAGACATCAAAGTATTATAAAGGAGTGGATAGCATCAATTCAGTAATAACTATAAATTCAGTAAACAGAAAATATTTCTGTAAGTTGCCTTTGAAAAATGAAATTATGTTTATTTTAGTATACTTATATTAGACTATCAATGTTTATTTGAATCCACATTTATTGATGTGTGCATGTTTATTATTTGGGTACAATTTTCAGGAGACCAGCATAGACCAGCCCTCGAGGATCTTGTGGTTTAGTTGAGGAAAAGTCATTTGTCCTATAGTATAAGTCAACTCTGGGAAGTGCTACTTCAGAGCACAGATACAATCATATAGTCAGAAAGAGGAGGGTGTTGGATTCTGCTTGGGAAGGATTGAGGAAGAGTAAGTTTGAAATAGCCTAATTTGGACAGAGCCTTGAAGAAGAGGTACATTTTTAAGCATTCTAGGCAGTAAGAAAAAACACCGGGTAAAAATAGCATGTTTTTGAGAAATAAACTGAGTTGCCGAGATTATGAAAAGAGTAAATAGAGGAAAGTGATTAGAGCGAAAACCAAAAGGGTCCCACGGAATCTGATTGAATGGCAACTTAAGGAATTGTGATGTTTTCCCCAGGCAGCAGTATAATCAGAACTTTAAAAAGAGTGTTGCAGAAGAAAGATATTGGAATTGGGGAAACTGGTATTTTAGTGTAGGGCAAGAGTAAGTCCCAAGAGATAGAAATAAGTAATGCCAAATTATAAGAGGGACTAGTTAGATATTAAAGAAAAATTGACACGAAGAGTCCACAGTGGAACGTATCTGGTAGGAGTTAAACTGTAGACAGGAGTCGAAGATTTTAAGTTTATAAAATAAGAGGGATTGTCCCTCCATTAGCTAAGAAAAAGGGACCCAGAGTGGAAGCAGATTTGGAGTAAATATAAAAATGTAATATGTGCTGAATTCGAAACATAAGAAACCAGGTAGGTAGAGATGTTCAGGAGAAAATTGTAAATATATGTCTCGTATGTCGAAGGGGTACTAGCACTTTAGATATAGAAATTGTTCCTTGATGAGTGGTTGAAGTAAGAAGAGCAATTAAGTTCACCAAAAAAAGAGTGTGTCTGGTAAGAAGTGGGCAAAAGTATCATAGATGCTACCAATTATATCCGTTATCTGTTGCTTTGCAATAAGTTAACCTAAAATGTAGCAGCTTAAAACAGCCAACGTTATTATCTCAGTCTTTAAGAGCCAGCTTAGCTGGTAGTTATAGCTCAGGATCTTCCATTTAAATAAATAAGCTTTGAGGGTTTAATAAAAAAAAAAAAAGGTGTGGGCCAGAGGTGCAGTCATCTGTAGACTTTACTGGGGTTGGATGATCTGTTTCCAAGATGACTCACATACATGGTTGTTAGTTGGACGCCCCCATTCTTGGACACATAGCTCTAACCTTCTTTAGACTGAGTTAGCCAAAGAAAAGAGCAAAGAGAAAAACACAGTGGCCTTCATGACCTGTTCTCCACAGTCACACGCAGTTAGTTCTGTTTTATTCTATTCCTTATAAGAAAGATCGACCTAAGTCCAGCCTAACTCAACGCAAGGGGAATTAGGCTTCAGCTCTTGAAGGAAAGAGTATCACAGTATCTCTGCACACATTTTAGATCCAACACACTTTTTGAAGTGGAAAACTGAGTGTTTTAGAGTAAGAATGAAATGAAGAGCAGGCGTTTTCTAGTAAGAATGGAAATGGAGCAGTGTCTCCTGCTAACTTAGGAAAAATAAAAGTTTCCCAAAAGTGGGATTATTTACTGATGGCACATTCTACAGGAAAGCTGACATGAAAAAGAAGTGCCTTATGATTTATCTGGAGGGCACAGGTAGGTAGATTCTGAAAGACACATTGTAGTAGAATGGGTTGGATAGATTTTCAATGATAAAGATTTTCAGTGAGAAAAGAAAGTTGATCATAGCGACTCTCATCTTTTGAAAGTTTGGTGTTAAACTGTGATTATAGATTGAGAAGACTGAGTAGAAACAGGTTTTAGAACAGAAATATACACTACATGTATAATGTGGCTACTTTTGTCATGTTACTGTAGAACTAGACTATTTCACGAATAGCCTAACTAATATATTTGTACTTTCATGAGAGACGAATATTTTTACTTTGGTGTTCCCAAGGATGGAGGATGATGGTACTTTAGAGAGGCAGGAACATATTTAATGACATTGATTTTCTACTACTAGAAGTTTTTTTTTTTTTTTTTTTATCTGAAAATGTCCCTTTACCACATACACATCCCTCACACTTTCCAGGGATTTGAGGCCACGACAATTTACTTTTCTCTTTTCAACAAATGCAGATGTTGAAAGCTAAAACTTTAATGAGTAGTAATGTAGTTGGATAAAAGCTGCAGGGATTAATGGTGTTGTAAAGGTCACCCCTGAAAGAAGAAATAATGTATTATGCCATTTATAAACCACAGAAAACTGTGGACCAAAAAATAACTTAAGTTATCATTAATGACATGGGGCTCTTTGCTATATATCTATTAGCTACAAATATAGAAAGCAACTTTTTAATATTGTTTCACTATATTTCATAAGAATGCTTTTGAGAGGGTACACACATGATAGACAGCTCCAAAGAAAGGGAGTCTTTCAAAGGCATAACTAGTTCAGAAGAATGACTTTTAGAATATTTCAAACAGATGATGTGTTTCCTTTATTATTCTTTTCCACCTATATTATACATATGTGCGAAACTGTTACTGTCTTTTTTCAAGCATTTTTTTTCATCTGTTATCTCACTGTAGCTGTTCGAGATTTAAAGACCCTGGGCTAGCTAGAGCAGGTATCCATGTCATCTAGCCAAAACTTGTTATTTTGAAGATAAGGAACAGAGACCTAAAGAGGCTTTTACCTAAAGATGTGAAGTACTTTCTTGTCACAGTGTAGACAATTCTGTGATTCTATGTTTATTAGTTCTGTTTGAATTTTAAGGAAACAAATGTATATAAAGATTGAGCAAGTTGTCCAGACGCACAGCCCATGGAGTTTGGCACGTTGCAAGTACAGCCCCTGGGTTGGCATTCCTTGTGTTTAGTTCACTGCCTTTTGGGAACCTCTGGACATCAGGGGTACTTCTCAGTCGTTTATCCTTCCACTCATCCATCCCACAAAGGAGAATTAACACTTCTCAATGTCAAACATTTTTGTCAATCTGGAGGACCATCAGATGGCAGTCCTGAATGGAGGCTTTCGGTGCCTCCAGTCTCCGCCCCAGCGTCCCTGGGAGCACATTGGAATGTGTTCTTCATACCTTCCATTCTTCAGAGACGTCACCATGCGAAAATTACAACTTCACCAGAGCAAATGTCATAGATGCCCATTGACTAAATCAAACGAAGGGGAATATTTTCAAGTTCATTAATTGGGTACATTATTTCTACAACTTGCTAATTTAAAATATGATGACATGGAGGAGGATATTGCTTTGAAGCTTCATTAGCTTATGTTTTTAATGAGCAAAGCTTAGACAGAGGCTTTAGTGAGAAGTATTTTGTATGTGTATAGGGGATTCAGTGAGTGAACAAGAATTCCTGTCTAAGTCCTAGACAGCTCCTGCATCATCAGGAGGGTAGGGATACCATTCAGAGACATCTGGCAATTAATATTTTCATAGCATTTTACAGTTTACAGATCGCTTTCACATGTATCACCTAATTCTCATGAGTTTTCACAGTTGAAGAAATGGCTCCCTATCAGGGTGCCAAAAATTTGATGGTGATCAGTGACCTCAGAAGTAGAAAAAAAATTAACATTTGTGGAAAATCACTTGAAATGCATATGTGACTTTTACTTACAGCTGACAATAGGATGAAATAAACATGTAATAATAAGAATTTATATGACCCTACTATCATGTCAGTTCCATGAGTTTTAATAAGTCTCTGCCATATAGTAAAGGCTTCTTCTGATACGAAGACAGAGATAACCATTGAACTTGAAATTATAAAGGCAGATGCTGTTGACTTAGAATATGCGTGTATGCCTTCAATAGAACCTGCCACGCACCAAAAGGAATAAAAGAGTAGAATAGAAACATTCCCTCAAGTCGGTCATAGACGGATGTGAAAAACAAACTCAGAAAAGTGCCAGCTAGTGTGACAATCGAAGCATGTCCGAGGTTTTGAAGGAGCATATAAATGGAAAGGACTAATCTTTCCAAGGAGCGTGTCTGGGGTATGTCAGAGATGTCCTCACAAAATGGGCAACATCTGAATAAATTCCCAAACATACCAGAAAGAGAGAGCATTTCGGCAAAAGAGAAAGTGTTGGGAGACAGAAGGTGGGAGAGAGAAGGGGAAGGCCTGTCCTTGGAACAGGGAAAAAGCCCCGTGTAGCTAAAACGCAGGGCTCCTGAGAGATTGGCAGGAAGGGACACGGGAAGGACAGAAGAGTTCCTATCATGGAGAGACTCTTAGACTCTGTTAAAGTATTTGGAACTTATCCCAGAATGATGTTTTTGAGGAACCATCACAGAGTTTCAAAAGTTCCATTGTGTTTGGGAAAGGCTGCAGAC